ACGGGCCTCAAACTTAAGAAGGACAAATGTAAAATTGGGGTGCCTTCTACAGATTTTCTGGGATTCAAAATCGATGCTACCGGTATTCACCCTGCTGAATCCAAACTGGAAGTCATTATGCATGCCCCTAGGCCAAAGTCCAAGGCCGAACTACAGGCTTTTCTGGGCCTTCTGAATTTCTATAACTCCTTCCTTCCAAACAAGGCTAGTGTAGCTGAGCCTCTTCACAGGCTTCTGGACAAACAGGCAGTGTGGCAGTGGTCACAAAAACACGAAGCAAGTTTCAATGAGGTCAAGGCCTTACTCACTTCTAACAGTGTGCTTGCACATTTCAATGAATCCCTTCCTGTGTGCATCGCTTGTGATGCTTCTCCTTATGGGGTGGGAGCCGTACTAAGCCACCTCAGATCAGACGGAACTCAGGTTCCTGTTGCATATTACTCCAGAACCTTGTCTTCTGCTGAGCGAAATTATGCTCAAATAGACAGGGAGTCTTTAGCTGTTATTGCGGGAATCAAAAAATTCCATGATTTTTTATATGGCAGGCATTTCACGGTCTTCACTGACCATAAGCCTTTGTTGGGACTGTTTACCACACATAAACAAACTCCCCAGATCATCTCCCCCAGAATGCTGAGATGGTCTATCTTTCTGTCTGCCTATGATTTCTCCTTACTTCACAAACCTGGGAAGGAAATGGGCCATGCTGATGGCCTCAGTAGATTACCCCTGCCGGTAATAGAAGCTGACCCTGTACCTGTCTCTTCCACCACCACTGCAAAGACTATTCAAGTACTGAGGGGGATTTTTGCTGCACACGGGCTTCCAGACGTCCTCGTGTCTGACAACGGCCCTCAATTCACTTCTTCTGAATTCCAAGCTTTCTTACAGGCCAACATGATTCGTCATGCCACCTCTGCGCCTTTCCACCCATCCATCAACGGTATGGCTGAACGCATGGTTCGCATCACCAAGGACGCCTTGAAGAAACTTACCTATGGAGACTGGCATCACAGGTTGGCTGACTTCCTCCTTTCTTATCGCACTACACCGTCCACTTCTACCGGGAGGAGCCCAGCTGAACTTCGTTGGGGGCGCAAACTGACCACCAAGCTTGACCGGTTGCATCTGGACAGACTTCCTTCCACACTCACACACCCCAGGGCACCTGGACAGCTGCTTGTGGGTGCCCCGGTTTGGACTTGTAACTATGGGCCTGGCCATTCATGGGTCCCCGCCACTGTATGCAGAGTCACAGGTCCTCTGTCTTACGAGGTGTCTCTGGACAACGGTCGTGTCCTGCGTCGACACATCGACCAGCTCCGCACTAGACGGGACCTTCCCACTGAGACTCCTGGGTCTTTTCCAGGGGGGAGGGGGACCCTTTAGGGCAAAGGGAAGAGTACGGGCTGCTGCCCATCATTAACGAGGAGGCTACAGACAGCCCATTCCAAAGTTCCGCGAGTGCTCCAAACAGGAATTCACAGAGCCCAACTAGAACTCAGGCACCAGTGCCTACTCCAGCCAGGGAGTCACCCTGGGGGCATAATCACTACTCACCCGCATCACTCAGTACTCCAGTCAGGGAGGATATCCGGGAGCGTCCAAACAAATCACCCCCTGCAAGAGAGCTGGCACACATTCCCTCTAATTGGCCCGACACTACACCTGTCCCTAGAAGGGGGCAAGCACACAGGGAGGTGGTCGAGGAACCAAATCCTGACTACAACACCTCTGACATCACTCAGGGGACAACTGAGTTTGGGACAGCACTGAAACCCCAACAAGCCCGGGTACAGAACGGGAACGAGGGGAAAGACAACCTCTTGACAGGTCTAGGACAGACCTGGGAGGTTCTACAGAATTGCCCAACAGTGATAGTCACTTAAGAGGGCCAGAGAGCCTGTAGCCAGGCAGGACAACCAGGTCAAACAGAGAAAGAAGCCCTGGCCTGACGAGCCCGGTGGGCAAGCAAGCAGGCCAGGCATTGGAGCACAGTCTTTGGGAATCACCAGGGTGTAGCAAGGGGGACTAGCGTACATCACCCCTCAGTCAAGGGGTACTTGGTAGGTACCCAGAAGTCAGGAGGTCACAGAGAGCCAGAAGATCTCCTAAATATTTAGAAGATTTTGTAACTCTACTGGCAAAACAGAGTTAACAGAGAACATTCCTGTACACATAGGAAAATAGAACACTGGGAATGATAGAAGCAGAGGAAATAACTGACACTAGGTAGTATGGGCACCACGCTCGCATTAGGTTGTATGTTATTATTGTATGATCATAGTCTTAGCCGGGGGGGAAGGGGTGTTATGTCCTGAGCCTGTGGAAGCAGGCTCGGGGCATTGCAACGGTCCTGGGCAGGTGCAAGCTGCCCGGGACCAGACTGGCTGTCGCCAGCACGTGTGCGCATGCGCGGGTGCTGGCGCGCCAAATGTTGCAGAGTGGCCTGGGAATGGCCTATAAAAGAGGCCGGGAGATTTGGGCGTTGTCGGCGTCTTGTAACGAGTATGCTGAACAGAAATAAAGAAGTTCCTGAGAACTACAACTGCTTCTCGTGTCATTGCCATTTCGCGAAGGACGCAACAGGTTGCAATTCACCTTATAGATAAGCTATACCCTGAGTTAGGAGGATGTTACAAATCATGTCACAGTAAAGGGAGTGAAGATAAGACAGGAACAAAAGGGGCATTTGATCTAATAATTGGAGGGTCTGGTAGTTGTAATGGTTGCTAGGCAGTCGGAAAGCATGTGACCAATTGAAACCTATCAATTTGGTTTCAGTTGGAAGGATGTAGTGTGATGCATGGGACAGGGTATAAAAAAACCTGTGCAAAATTGATTCAAGTGTGGACTCTGGGATTTGCCATTACCAAGAGTTCCACCACTTTTGCAAAAGCTTTAATAAAACTTGTTTTATTTTCCAACATCCTTGGAGTTGAATTTTTATTCCTCACAATTACAAGCTAGTCGCCGAGCACCCAGATCACCCCAGGGCTTCTGAGATAGCCACAGCTAGAAGGACTGATTTCAAGTATCACTTATTCAGCACAGTCGCTGAATGAGTGGTCGTTAAACTAAATGCTATTCCATTCTGATGTAAGCAATGCTAGGCACGGCAGAAAAAGACATACTAATCCAAAGGAATTTGTGGCATTAATATAGCTAAAATATAGCTAATATAGTTTACACTAATGCATTCAGTATATATGTTCATATTTTTGTATTCTTGCAAACCACTCTTGCCTCCCTTATACCATTTCAATATAAATGAGAACCAGCCAAATGGTGAATTTGGATCAGTTGCTCTTTCTTGGCCTATCTTGAGTTACCGGTATATAGAAAAGGGGGAAGGCAAAAATACAATAATGAATAATAATTTTTTTACAATTTGTTCTAAAAATTCTCATCTCTTTTTGAGGGTGCTAACAACTTCATCTAACAGCATGTTTTTTTTATCTTTCCTCTACTCTCAGTCCATTCACTCTATCTTCATACATTTGTTTTCTATCTTAATCTTTATTCACTCTTTCTACTTGACTACAGCTACTACAACAAACTTCTTTTGTATTGGATACCCATTTTGTATTCAATCAAAGTTCACTCAATACCCATTCATTCCTGACCCCACCTCTTGTTTTGCCAACACGCTTTTAAATATCTAATTTCCATTGCATTCAACTTTCTGTTGACTTAACTGTCATTTCCATGTAGAAAAATGGACAGAAACAAGCTGTTATATACATATTTATTCACTATCTTTCTAGCAATATTTGCGTCTTACAATATCTTTATTTCTTCCTATTTAATATTTAAGATATTAAATATTTACATAAATCATCTACTTGTTTTGATTTATGTATGACATACAAATATATTACAGGTTGCCCTTGACTTACAACAGTTCCTTTAGTGACCGTTCCAAGTTACAACATCACTGAAAGTGACTTATGACCATTTTTCATACTTATGACCATCGCAGTATCCCCATGATCACATGATCAAAATTCAGATGCTTGGCAATTGACTCACATTTATGACGGTTGCAGTTCTAGGGGTCATGTGATCTTTTGTGACCTTTTGACAAACAAAGTCAATGGGGGAAACCAGTTTCACTTAACAACCATGTTATTAATTTACCAATTGCAGTGATTCACTTAACAATTGTGTCAAGAAAAGTCATAAAATGGGGCAAAACTCACTTAACTAATGTTTCATTTAGCAACAGAAATTCAATTGTGGTTGTAAGTTGAGGATTACCTGTAATATAGGTTGCACACCAAACTCACTTAACTAATGTTTCATTTAGCAACAGAAATTCAATTGTGGTTGTAAGTTGAGGATTACCTATACATAGGTTGCACACTAAACAAACCACCTTGATATTTTAACATTGATTGCTATATTAGCTATACCTGGAGCTCTTCTATTTTTCACTCATAAAACATGTACTACTCTCTTCATCAATTGGTTCTTGGATGCTAACATACATAGCATGTTTCAAATTCTATCTTTGACCTTCCACAATTATACCCAAACATACTAAAGTATTCCTTCCAGCTTTTTCTCACTTAAATTTCATTTGAAATTATTTCATAACTTTTATTTTTTAATTAATTTCACACTGCTGGAGGTTTCTTCTTTAGCCACTCTATTCCATTTGTTTCTATTTTTTCCTCAAAATCACACATCAACTCTGTTTTCTCTGCTTCTTTTAATCTTAACTGATCCTTGTTGTCATTGATTACATTTTTACCAGTTTCTTTCTGTCCATAAACCTAATATAGTATTTTTCTGTCATTTTCCTTTCTTATATCCAGTGTGCCATAAGCACAACTAACGCTCAGTTTTACTTTAGTCACACTGATGGTATTCTACAATAAGATAGAATCTCCACCTAAAGACTATCTTTCAAGTCAACATATTGTCTCATGCATCCCATCAACTAGACGATATAAACAGAAAGCATGTATCTTATGTTGGAGTAAGCATAGTCTTACCTGGATATTGATTTCAAAATATGCTTCTGGTAATATTCTGCTCCATGATAGTTATTTCTCAAATCTTTTAGCACCTACACAAAACCATTGAAAGAGAAGTTGAAAGAGATGATAAGGGGATGCACTAATATAATATAATATGCAGAAGTTACTCAAGCTTTATTACTTTTCATTTAATATAGATAAGAACTCAAGTTTTGTACCATTGTCTGGGCAGGATAATGAACTGCATGAAGATTAAAAGACAGCTTTACTTTTCTGAGTCTTTTCTCTTGTAAAAGTGATGCCTGTTATCTTCTAGAAAATGCTGTATTCCTTCTAAGACATATCTAGTACAGTAACTAGAAGCCTAAAATAGTTTCTACTGCTGAAACTTTTTTGTCTGTAACATTGAATTAGCTGGGACAAACATCCCTGCAGCAGTTATAAATGACTTGGTTGTAAACTGGCCTACATTGGAAGTGATTTGGGAACTTCATTTAAATTAAAACCAGTCAAATAAGTTGCCAATTGGGGTTGGTGATATAGTTCTTATCTATATAGTCACATTACGCTACTGCTTAGCACCTGTACAGGGTGTAAATCTGTTTCTAGGCTTTATTCAAAATGCTAATACTAACCTACAAAGCCTTAAATCTGAGGCCTGCAGCTAGCTCCTCCTTCCATATTTACTGAAGATCTTCATTCGATACTCTTTCTCCAGATGCTCTCAACTGAAGAGAGCAACTGATGAGGCCAAGTGGGTAAGATACAGAAGAAAGGCCTTTTCAGAGGTGGTTGATTAATGATGTACTGAAGGAGCTCACCTGATACGTACATTATTGTATTTTCAGTGTTAAATTATTCTTTCTTTTCTCAATTATTGTAAGAATCATATAAGCATTTTAACAATTTGGTTCTTGCTATTTTATTATTGTGGTTTAATGCTGTATTTGTCCCACTGCCATTGTTGTTCCTTCTTTGATGTTTTTAATGATTTACCAGGGTTTAGATTGTTTTTATATTGTATTTATGTAGTTTTATTTCTTATAAAGTATTTTACTTTATTATGCACCAACAATATACAATAAATATGTTAACAAATCTGTCTGTATATCTTGTCAGACAGATTCAAAAACATTCAGTGCAAAGAAAAATCTGAAGCTGCCACCTAACAAGCAAACTGCCTTCAATTACCTTCTCTATATTTTGCTTTTAAAAATCTTGTTCAATTTTGATACCTTAATTCTTCACATTTTGTTGATTTTATTGTTTGTTCAATTTCAAGATGTTTAGAGTTACGTATTGTTTCTGCTAAGTCAAAATCTTTTTTAAAAGAAAAACTCAGTAAAAGTAAATATAGAAATGAGCAAGGAGGTTTTTCTAAGTGGCGTTATCTATGAAGATAAACAATTATATATTCAAACAAAAAACATGTGCAGTGTTTGTTCATGCCCAAGAAGAAACACTGTTTACTCCAGATTATATGGAACAATATTTTAAGAAAACATTAAAAATATTTTGCCACATATTTGTCTTGTATTTTTAACTATATCGAGAATTGGAATGTATGTTTAATACTTAGCATTTCTGATGATATATGAGTTGCTGCTTTAGAAAAATCCACTATTTTTTTTCTTATAGTTTTAATAATTCAATCTTAAATGGCAATAAGCTATTTCATTATTTCTTGGCTACAGGGATCAGAGTTGCAATAGTACCTAACTGAAAAACGGGAAGAGTTAGATTAATCATAAACATTAAAAAGAGGAACATGAGCTGAGTAATATGTACTTTCATTTACTTCACCTGAAAAGTGAGTCAACAACCAGTGAATGGAATAGTTGTCACTCACATGCTTGTTAAAGGAGTGGTGATGAAACTATTTTTAGGATGTGTCATTTATATTTATTATTGCTATGGGAGGTTATTATGTCACATAGAAATATAGCACATTCCGATAAATTTCACAACAGCTAACATTCATTGCCAAGCACCTACATTAATCACATTATTTTTATATATAGATAAAAAGTTACTGTATGCTGGTACAGAGCACTTAAGTGACACTAATGCCCATTAAATATGGCAGGGGCGACCAGATACAAGCATTCTCTTCTCCAGCTATTCTTAAGAATAGGAGTTGCATCTTCATTATTAATATTTTTAAAAGCTATTAGAATCTTGGTTCTTTAAGCAGACATTTGGGTACTAGGAATATGTTTGATACCAAAGAACTATATGGGACTATTATTTATTTTGGCTTTATGAATTGGAATGTATACTATAATTTTATAGATTACATTGCTATTTAATCTGACATACATTATATATTTTATTATAAACAGCATCAAATAATAAATGTTGAGGCTGCCAGAAGACTGGAACTTTGTATCTCCCTCAATACCTAAAGTGATGAAAGAGGAAATAAAGAAGTAGTATAGTACTGTAATACAAGTATATTCATGAGGCCATACTCCTGAGTTTTCATGAGGAAACTGCTATGCACAACTTTGGGAAGAAACTTTCCTAGATCAACAGCTAAAGGGCCAGGTTGGATATGCTTGTTCAGCAGTGGGACCAAGAAGATGATGGTGATGATGATGATGATGATAGTAGTAATAATAATAATAATAATAATAAAGTTGGAAAGGACCTTGGAGGTCATCTAGTCCAACCCCCTGCTCAGGTAGGAAATCCTATACTATTTCGGACAAATGGCTGTCCAGTCTCTTCTTAAAAACTTCCAGTGTTGGAGCATTCACCGCTTCTGGAGGCAGCTTGTTCCACTGGTTAATTGTTCTGTCAGGAAATTTCTCCTTAGTTCTAGGTTGCTTAGATACCAAAGGTCAGTTAGGCAGCAGGAGCCATGGAGTGCAGGGCTCAAAAGTACATAGTCACAGTCCCGTCCACAACTCATGGGTGGGGGTTGAAGCACCTATGTGGTTGTAAATCAGGTGAGCTACCAAGTGCTCAAATTTTGATCATGTGATATGGGGATGCTGCAACAGCCATAACTTTGGGGACCAGTCGTAAGCTCTCTTATTGTGTGCTGTCGAAAAAGATCACTGAATAAGTGGTCATTAGTTGAGGACTACCAGTAAGCTACTTATATTCTCCTGAATGAAGTGACATAAAAGTATCCATAATAAAATAAATGGCTTCTATGCCAAAAGATTAGGGATTAACAATTATCAACTAAATGTATAAAAAGATAATAAATTAGATATAACTAACCAATCTGTTTGCTGAATGATATAGGTAAAATCTATATTATAAACTGTCTGAATATAGAAAAACAACTCCAGTATATTTGATCTGAACAGGCATGCTTTAAGCTAGAGTACTCTTATGAGATAGGCAGCAAACAAATTCAATAAATAAAATAAATAAAATTCTATTCTGCAGCATAGCATGCAGCATGGAGAATGAATTAGGAACTGCAAAATAAAATATGAAAAAAGTGTAAATAGACATAAAAGAAAAACAGAAAGTTGAGACTGGATGCAGCTGATTATAAAACATAATCTTTGAAGCAATGTATGTGCTTGGTAGAAGTAGAGATGATTTATAAGAACAGAAAGTATAGAAAGGGATAGTAAATAATTTTGGTATTAACTAGATTGTTTTCTCATTCTGTTTTGCTTTCTGTACTTTGCTTAACACTGCTTATCACAAAAGAAATATTGTAGTGTGTGTTTTATGTGTGTCTGAGTGCGGGGGATATGGTTATATATGGGTTTGTGTGTGTCTGTCTGTGTAAAACAGAGAGCAATAGACAGACATATAAGGAATATATAAATAAATCTGAAGTATGCTATACGTAACGCTCAATATTAACCCAGTATCAGAAATAGGTTTGAGAATAAATCTGAAGATACTTCCACAAACAAGCACTTTTTCCTGCATATAAAAAATGGTGTGAAAATTTCTATTCATACATCCTTACCAAAGCTATCTAACTCTTCTATTCTATAGAAAGGAAACTGATTCAAACAGGATTTTTAAAAATAGAATTGCAAATTTGGTAGCAACCAATTCCAAAGACTGAATATTACAAAAATTATTAGCATGTCTTTCCAAAATTATTTATAATTTTGAGCCTGCCTTTCTATTCAAACTATATTTTTATGATATCTCTGAAGATCAAAAAGGATCGTGGTTTAGTTCTGTTTCAGGTTATACGTTTATAACTGAATTGCTAGTTGCATTTTTTCTTGTACATCAGAAAAGTTAATGTTGTTGGGAGTATTTTTAAATGAGAAATATAAAAAAGAGGAGAGAAGACAAGGTGAAATGATCGTAATTTGACAAGATCCATTAATATACAATATGCTCTTTAACAATTCTGGCGGAACTAACACCTGAAAGTCATCAATTGCTGGTTTTTTCCCAATTTTTAAAGAATATGAACATTATTTTAAAGAATACAAGCAATAATATTTGGAACTATGAATGTCTACTTAATTTTTTCTGGTAATGAGTATAAGAAAAGCAGAAAAACAAAAAAAAATATTCTAAAAAAAACCCCATAAGTGCTATAGTAAAACATTAGAGATATTACATAGTTTATACTGATATGCTAAAATAATTTATTCAGCTTTGGGGGGAATTAAAGTGTACCAAATAAATACAGTCCAAGAAAAATTAAAGAAAAATCATTCCTTTTCCTACTGACCTTGTATTATACATTCTTTCTTACTAACAAGTGACCCTTTTTAATGCCTTGAGAACCAATTTACAGCGCCCCCTAATGTACCATATACTCAAGAGTGGTTTGAGGTAATTCAGTTGTTATTATGATGTCATCAGAATTCAGATGTATGGAATTTTTTTATGTAGAACTATTGTTGAGCTACCTCCTCTGACTAACAATTTAAAAAGTATTATACTATTTTATGTTATTAACATACCCTATTTAATTTTTGCCAAAAAATATTTCACAATACCAGCTGTGCCCTTTTTTTTAGCCTTTGTTCCTTGAAGCTTTCACATTAACATTAAACAGGTGGAAAAAATAAAGCTTTTGAAATTTCAGTTTTTCCTTTATATGTCACTGTTCAAAACTGCAATTTATTGCAAAATAGGAAGGTTC